AGGCAGTAGGAGTTAGGAGCTAGTGTGTAGGAGTTAGGAGTTAGGAGGTAGTGTATAGGAGTTAGGAGTTAGGCAGTAGGAGTTAGGAGCTAGTGTATAGGAGTTAGGAGCTAGTGTATAGGAGTTAGGAGTTAGGCAGTAGGAGTTAGGAGCTAGTGTGTAGGAGTTAGGAGTTAGGAGGTAGTGTATAGGAGTTAGGAGTTAGGCAGTAGGAGTTAGGAGCTAGTGTGTAGGAGTTAGGAGTTAGGCAGTAGGAGTTAGGAGCTAGTGTGTAGGAGTTAGGAGTTAGGAGCTAGTGTGTAGGAGTTAGGAGTTAGGAGCTAGTGTGTAGGAGTTAGGAGCTAGTGTGTAGGAGTTAGGAGTTAGGAGTTAGGAGCTAGTGTGTAGGAGTTAGGAGTTAGGAGCTAGTGTATAGGAGCTAGTGTGTAGGAGTTAGGAGTTAGGAGCTAGTGTATAGGAGTTAGGAGTTAGGAGCTAGTGTATAGGAGTTAGGAGTTAGGAGTTAGGAGCTAGTGTATAGGAGTTAGGAGTTAGGCAGTAGGAGTTAGGAGCTAGTGTGTAGGAGTTAGGAGTTAGGAGTTAGGAGCTAGTGTGTAGGAGTTAGGAGTTAGGAGCTAGTGTATAGGAGCTAGTGTGTAGGAGTTAGGAGTTAGGAGCTAGTGTAGGATAGGAGTTAGGAGTTAGGAGCTAGGAGTGTTATAGGAGTTAGGAGTTAGGAGTTAGGAGCTAGTGTATAGGAGTTAGGAGTTAGGCAGTAGGAGTTAGGAGCTAGTGTGTAGGAGTTAGGAGTTAGGAGCTAGTGTGTAGGTTTTAGAGTGTAGTGTGTAGGAGTTAGGAGTTAAGAGCTAGTGTGTAGGAGTTAGGAGTTAGGAGCTAGTGTGTAGGAGTTAGGAGTTAGGAGGTAGTGTTTAGGAGTTAGGAGCTAGTGTGTAGGAGTTAGGAGTTAGGAGCTAGTGTGTAGGAGTTAGGAGCTAGTGTAGGAGTAGGAGTTAGGTAGGCTAGTGTAGGAGTTAGAGTTAGGAGCTAGTGTTAGGAGTTAGGAGTTAGGAGCTAGTTATAGGAGTTAGGAGTTAGGAGTTAGGAGCTAGTGTGTAGGAGTTAGGAGCTAGTGTGTAGGAGTAGAGTTAGGAGTAGGAGTTAGGAGTTAGGAGTAGTGTAGAGTGTAGAGTTAGGAGTTAGGAGTTAGGAGCTAGTGTGTAGGAGTTAGGAGTTAGGAGTTAGGAGCTAGTGTGTAGGAGTTAGGAGTTAGGAGTTAGGAGCTAGTGTGTAGGAGTTAGGAGTTAGGAGTTAGGAGCTAGTGTGTAGGATGGATGTGAGTTTGATTGTGTTTGTTCTAAACCCTGTGGCCTCTGGCTCCTCTAATGATGTAATGGCCCTGGGCCCCTGAACGCCTCATCACACTCCAATCACCAACACACGACACGACAGGGGCCCCGGACCCCCACTCCCCCCGCCGGACCCCCACCCAGACCCAGAGCCCCCCCCGACACACACTCACACACACACACACAACACAACACACACACACACACACCGGACCCAGAACCCCCAGAACCTCCTGAAGAACCCCCCAAACAAATCATCACACTCCAATCACCAACACACGACACGACAGGGGCCCCGGACCCCCCACCCCCCAGACCCTCACCCAGACCCAGAACCCCCCCCTCGACACACACACACACACTCCAAGACCCAGACGGCCCCCCAGAACCTCCCCAAGAACCTCCTCAAGGACCTCCTGAAGAACCTCCCCAAGAACCTCCTGAAGAACCTCCTCAAGAACCTCCTGAAGAACCTCCTCAAGAACCTCCTGAAGAACCTCCTCAAGAACCTCCTCAAGAACCTAACCAAGAACCTCCTGAAGAACCTCCTGAAGAACCTCCCCAAGAACCTCCTGAAGAACCTCCTCAAGAACCTCCTGAAGAACCTCCTGAAGAACCTCCCCAAGAACCTCCTGAAGAACCTCCTCAAGAACCTCCTCAAGAACCTCCTGAAGAACCTCCTGAAGAACCTCCCCAAGAACCTCCTGAAGAACCTCCTCAAGAACCTCCTCAAGAACCTCCTGAAGAACCTCCTCAAGAACCTCCTGAAGAACCTCCTGAAGAACCTCCTCAAGAACCTCCTGAAGAACCTCCTGAAGAACTTCCTCAAGAACCTCCTGAAGAACCTCCTGAAGAACCTCCTGAAGAACCCCCCGAACGCCTCCAATCACAACACTCGACTGTCACATCCACAGGATCATCCAGACTGTGAGCTCCAGGAGCCCAGGGGAACACTGGACTCTCTGGCTCTGGTCCTGTGGCTCTGGTCCTGTGGCTCTGGTCTTGTGGCTCTGGTCTTGTGGCTCTGGTCCTGTGGCTCTGGTCCTGTGGCTCTGTGGTCTCTGGTCCTGTGGCTCTGGTCTTGTAGCTCTGGTCCTGTGGCTCTGGTCCTGTGGCTCTGGTCTTGTGGCTCTGGTCCTGTGGCTCTGGTCCTGTGGCTCTGGTCTTGTGGCTCTGGTCCTGTGGCTCTGGTCCTGGTTCAGTTTAGAGGTTTTGAAGTGTCTTGCTCAAGGACACAGCAGCAGGCGTAAAAGTAAAAGTACTTTTACTCCAGTAAAAGTAAAAGTACTTTTACTGGAGTAAAAGTAAAAGTACTTTTACTTGAGTAAAAGTAAAAGTAAAAGTACTTTTACTGGAGTAAAGGCGGAGACTTAATTAAACTTAACCAGTTTGTGTCTGTGTTTTTATTGGTTGTTTTGCAGAGATTTTATTGGTCGGTTTGAGGCGTTTTTATTGGTTAACCTCAAAAGGGGCGGGGCACAAACAGGAAGTGATTTTACGACGTTTTTGGTTTGTTCCCACGTTTACACCCCCCCCCCCCCCCCCCCCCCCCCCCCCCCCCCCCCCCCCCCCCCCCCGCGGGCCAAACCAGAACTAAACCAGGACTAAACCAGGACTAAACCAGGACTAAACCAGGACTAAACCAGGTCTAAACCATGTCTAAACAAGGACTAAACCAGGACTAAACCAGGACTAAATCAGGACCAAACCAGAGGACTAAACCAGGACTAAACCAGGACTAAACCAGGTCTAAACCAGGTCTAAACCAGGACTAAACCAGGACAAAACCAGGACAAAACCAGGTCTAAACCAGGACTAAACCAGGACTAAATCAGGACCAAACCAGGACTAAACCAGGTCTAAACCAGGACTAAACCAGGACTAAATCAGGACCAAACCAGGACTAAACCAGGACCAAACCAGGTCTAAACCAGGACTAGTCCCAGGTCGGGGACTCAGATCTCACAGGAGTCTGTTTCACACACAGAGGTTGAAGTGTTTTGCCCAAAGGCCCAACATCAGTGAGACTCTGTGGGGGGGGGGGGGGGGGGTCTGCTCCTCAGAACATCAGCGCCCTCTGCAGGAACCTCCAGGGACCAGACCAGGACCAGACCTGGACCCAGACCTGGACCTGGACCCGGACCTGGACCTGGACCAAGACCAGACCAGGACCCGGACTCAGACCAGGACCAGACCTGGACCCAGACCTGAACCAAGACCTGGACCTGGACCTGGACCAAGACCTGGACCTTAACCAAGACCTGGACCCGGACCTGGACCCAGACCTGGACCCAGACCTGGACCCGGACTTGAACCAAGACCTGGACCTGGACCCAGACCTGGACCCAGACCTGGACCTAGACCTGGACCTTAATCAAGACCTGGACCCAGACCTGGACCCAGACCTGGACCCATCACAAAAAAATGTCCAACTGCCTCCAGATCACTGTCGAAACCAGAACTAAACCAGAACTAAACCAGGACTAAACCAGGACTAAACCAGGACTAAACCAGAACTAAACCAGGACTAAACCAGGACTAAACCAGGTCTAAATCAGGTCTAAATCAGGACTTAGTTTTTAAAAGAATCTCTTTAATTTTTTTTACAGAAACATTTTGGACATTTACAAAAAAAAACAAAAAAAAAACACAAAGACAAAATGCAGCGAGTAGAAAACACAAACATATTTACACAAAAAAAACAAAAAAAACAAAACTCAAATCATCAGAAATTCACAGTTTTACAGAAAATATTTCCCAGAATTGAGCTTCGTGAGATTCAGAGTGAAACGTTCTGAAAGAGAAAGTGTCGTCACAAAAGTCTCGACTCGACTCCAATTTCACGTTTAAACTTCAGGTTTTCACATTTATTTATTTTATTTATTTTATATTTTATCTCCTGAGTTTGTTCTTTCTCCTTTTTCCCAAGATAAAAGTATTTTTTATTATTATTATTATTATTTAGTTTTTTTTTTCATTTCAACACTTTTCATTTTCTGACACATTCAAGGGTTTAGATCTAAACCAGGACTGAACCAGGACTAAACCAGGACTGAACCAGGACTAAACCAGGACTGAACCAGGACTGAACCAGGACTGAACCAGACTAAACCAGACTGAACCAGGACTGACTGAACCAGGACTAGTCTGGTGTGGCAGAGTGGTTAACAGTCTGAAGGTTCCAGGTTCTGGTCGGTCTGGTTTTTGGAGCTGCTGTTTGTTCTGCTGCTCTGAGTCAAATATTTTAAAAAATATTTTAAAATATTAAAATATTTGTATTTTAAACTACTTTTTAAAATACTTGTAAATATCATTAATCAAATTTAAATTCAACATTTTATCGACATTTTGATTAAAAAAAAAAAAAGTTTAAGAACAAAACTCTGTTTGTGTCCAGCAGGTGGAGCTGCAGCCTCCAGCTCCTCACAAACCTCAAACAAACCCGGACTAAACCAGGTCTAAACCAGGTCTAAACCAGGTCTAAACCAGGCCTAAACCAGGACTAAACCAGGTCTAAACCAGGTCTAAACCAGGACTAAACCAGGACTAAACCTGGAATAAACCCGGTCCACAGTCTGGACCTGGACCAAACCCAATGCACCAGGTCTGGTTCAGTTCTGCTTTAGTCCTGGTCAGGTCCTGGTCCTGGTCAGGTCCTGGTCCTGGTCAGGTCGT